TTTGACTATTAGGATGACTCCTGGTCACGGGGGCGCCTGTTGTTTGCCCCCAAGGGTGTCCTGATCAGTGTGTGGTCTCCACTGAGTGTCTTGCCAGCCTGGAGGAGGGGCTTGATGGCTGTTTGCATCTGGTCACACCCCCTTCAGGGTGGGGGTCCCGCTTGGGTGCCTGGCCAGCCTGGATGAGGGGATGATGGCTGTTTGCAGCTGGTCACACACCCTTCAGGGTGGGGGTCCCCACTGGGGTGCCTGGCCAGTCTGGGTGAGGGGCTGAGGGCTGTTTTCAGGCTGGCGGGTGACTGAAGCTCCCAACTGCTCCTTTTTTTTTTTATTCTGGGCCAGCTTTAGCTCTGAGGCTTGGCTCCAGCTCTTAGGCCTCGGCTGCTGAAAGCAGGTATCTGGTTTGTTTGGGTTCTATAATCGAAACACTGTTTCAACTCCAGCTCTGAGATCCCGGCTGGTTGAAAGCAGGTTTCTGGGGTTTTGTTTAGCTTCTATATTTGTAACAATGTTTCAAACTGCAAGCTCTGAGGCCGGCAGCAGCAGGCGGGGAACGTTGGAGTCCTCCGTCACTGAAGCAAGCAAGCCTCCTGTTAGCTTCAAGCTGCCTGGCTGCCGGCCGCCATCTTGGCTGGCAGTTAATTTGCATATCACCCTGATTAGCCAATGGGAAGGGTAGTGGAGTGACACCAATTTGCATGTTTCTCTTTTATTAGTGTAGATTTCTTACCTTTCCCTTTCATTATCACTTTTTAGCAAGTTTTTGCAATAGAGCTGCTGGTTGATGAGCTTGAAGCAAAATCACTCTGGGTTTCTCCCTGACGTGAGCCCTTTGTGGGTGACTTTTCTGTCATTAAATCCTACAGGCTTATTTATTCACTCTTTCCACATCATGCTCTTCAAGTGAAAGCCTGGGAATACTTCTATAACTGAGGATTTCAGAGTGTTTAATTTGTTGATATACATGTTATAGAGTATAATAAAAATCGGGGCAGTCATTCACTAACGCATTGTAATTAGTACTATTTGTTTCCTACCTTAAATATCTCATGCTTTCTCATTCTTCCCACACTTTCTCTACACTGTCATAGAAAACTGCATTCCGTGTTGTCCTTGTATCTTTTATGCTAAGACAGAACATCATCATCCATTACTGAAAGTACTGTCTTAAAGCATCCTATATTCATCTTCTTCCATTAAATGAATTCGAGATAAGCTTGCAATCTATCTTTCCTGCTACTATGGCTGGTTGAGCCCTATGAAATAGTGTCACATAACTGCAGATTGCCATTATAGGTTACTGGTTTCTAGGAGGCCAAATCTTTGATGCTTCTCATCAATCCTTTTACCTATAGTGCCATAGACCAATTCCAGCATGTCATAATTTTAAGTTTCATCAAAAGGTTGATGAAACCTGGGGACTCAACAGGGTTGAGTCACACATGTAGTCACCTATTGGGAATGGCTAAAGGCATTTCCCCAAACCTGAATAGGAAACTGTGGCTGCCAGACAGTTAAAGGGCATCTTAATCTACATGTTATTGCCTCCTACTGGTCAAACACCTGAACAGCCGTAGGCTATTCCCCAAACTGACAATGCTCCTGTACCCTTTGAAACCTTACCCTATGAAGTGTATTATCTCCACCTTGCCTTAGGACAAATTGTGTTAATAAAAGCAAGGGTCCTAGACAAGGAGGCACTCTCTTCAGTTCCTTTAGCTGAAGGTCCTCTGACCCCCAATGCCTTTCAAAATTATATCTCGTCTCCGGACTCTTTATTAGTCTCTGGATTCCTATGTCATCTACGTGCAGCCCCTTTTCCAGATTCCTGAACCCTTCTTGATGCTGGGACATGAACCCCGGCACTATAGTATTATTTAGGATATAGGTTTGGCTGAATGTAATACACATTAAAATAACTATGGCAGACACAAGATATTCTATCGCGCTTTTACTTAGAAGCCCAAAAACAGGAGGTCCCAGGCTAGTATGGTCGTTGCTCCTCAAGGCCAATCAAGGACACAAGATCTTTCTATCTTGTTCCACCTTCCCCAATGAATTGCCCTCCTTTGTCCTACAAGTGATCTGCTGCTTTGTCCATATTCCAAGCAGCAGGATGAAGAGGGGAAATGGGCTCTCTTCTCCCATTGGCCATAACTTACATGGCCACATCCTGTTGCAAGGGCTGATGACAGTCTTAAAATTTTTTTAAATTGAAAAAATATATATATACTGAAGAGTGCAAAAATCATAAATGTATAGCTTTCCAAACTTTCATTGACAGAACAAAAATGCATAACCAGCATCCAGGACAAAAAGAAAAAGAAAGGAAAGAGGGGAAGGGGAAGGGGAAGGGGAAGGGGAAGGGGAAGGGGAAGGGGAAGGGGAAGGGGAAGGGGAAGGGGAAAGAAAAGAAAAGAAAAGAAAAGAAAAGAAAAGAAAAGAAAAGAAAAGAAAAGAAAAGAGTACAGTATTATAAGAACCTCAGAACCCTCCCTTTATATCCTTCCAAAGGTGCCCACTCCTGTGTTCTAACAATAATAGTTTCACCTACTTTTGTACTACATATAAATGAAATCATCCACAAATCATTTGTCTCTGGATTCTTTGGTAAGATCTTATGTGAGAATCAGCTATATTGTTGTGTGACTATGTTCCCAACCAAAAATTCTATTACTATGAAAGGATAAAATATATCAGGTCTCTCTCACTGACTTCCATTATCTTCCTAATTGTTCCCTTTTTCCTAAAGCCTTTTATTATCAACTCCCTCGCTCCATATTAGCTGATTACTTTGCTGGAAAATGGAATAAGTGAATTCCTTTATCACTATAAATATACTGCATTTATACTTATATCTCCTTTCTGCTAGCCTCAAATGAATTAGCACAGCATTACTTCTGCCATATTCTGTCAAAGGAGTCACAGGGCCTGCCCAGATTCAAGGGGGTAAAAAAGTAAAATGCAGTTGTTGTTTTTTTAAAATATATTTTTATTTCAGAGAGGGAGAGGGAAAGAGAAACATCTATTATGAGAAACACTGATTGGCTGCCTCCTGCACGCCCCACGCAGGGGATCGAGCCCGCAACCTGGGCATGTGCCCTGATGGGGAATCAAACCATGACCTCCTGGTCCATAGGTAGATGCTCAACCACTGAGCCACGCTAGCTGAGCTAAAATCCAGTTCTTAATGGACCACATTGCATAGGAGCATGTGGGGTAGAAGATTTTGTAGTGGCCATCTTTGAAAAGTGCAGTCTAGCACACCAAACTTGAAAGCATTTACAGAACCAATAATATGTCATATTCAGAACTGTGAGAATAAATTGTTTTAAGCCACTAAATTTTGTATCAGTTATCTACTGTCTCAGAATGCTGCATAACACACCACTCCAAAATTCTGTGGCTTATAATCATCTGCATTTATTATTGCTCACAAGTCTATAGGTCAGCTGGGTGGTTCTGCCAATCTGGGGTATGCTTGGCTGATTTCAGTTGGTATCTAATGTATCTGCAGTCAGCTGGCAGGCTGGCTGGGGACAGATTGTCTAGCATAGCTTCACTCACATGTCTGGCTGTTTACCAGCTATTGGCTGGTACAACAGGTGACTGGGCCATGTGTCTCATTATCCAGCAGGCTAGGCGGGGCTAGGCTTGTTACCATGGTAGTTGTGTAGGGTTCTAAAAGAACAAGCAGAAGTTTTCAAAACCTTTGGAAGAAAGTCTACTCAGATTGGCATTATATTATTTCCTCTGCATTCTATTAACCAAAACAAGTTCAGTCCTCCAGATTTAAGAGGTAGGTAAAGAAACTCAACCTCCTGGTGGGAGAAGCAGCAAAATTACATTGCATAAGTCATGAAAACATGGAGGGATAAAAAATTGGGGACATAGTACAATAAATCTAACTCAAATAAATAAAAACCTAATTGTTTCATTGACCTATAAAAGTTCAATCCCTTTAAGATGGAAATCTATATAAATTTTTAAATTTACATTTTATTGTGGACAGTATTACAGATGTCTCCCAACTCCTCTCCTCCACCCAACCCTGCCCACCCCAACTCAGGTTCTCATTGCATTACTGTCTGTGTCCATAGGCTATGTATATATGCATATAAATTCTTTAGTTAATCTCTTCCCACCCCCTTCCCTCTGAGATCTGTCAGTCTGCTACATGAATCCATGTCTCTGGACCTATTTTGTTCGTCAGTTTATTCTGTTCATTAGGTTTTACATGTAAGTGAGATCATATGATATTGATACCAGAACCGGAGAGCAGGAATTCTTCCCAGGGTCAGGTTTCACGGAATTGAAGAATGAATCCATGGAAGAGAGGAGTTCAAACAAGGCAGGAGTTTACTGCAAGCAAACACAGGCTCGCTGCTCAGGGAGGGGATCCAAATGGGATGCTGCCAAAACATTCTGCTCTTCCCCTTGTATCTGCTAAAGGCCCATTCTTTGTCTATCTGTGCCGCTGATTGGTTCCTGGCCGTTTTGCAACATTTTATTTTGCACTTGTAAGAAAAACATCCTTGTCTCAGAACATCCTATTTTTCTGCTATCTTGTTATTCTGCAAAACATTTTGTGGTTTCAGCTAGCTCCACGATTCCTCCTTCTTCCACCCGGTACCCTATTTACCTAATTCTGCTTCTCACTCCTCTCAGTATTACATGAAATCCCTTTTGTTTTAATTCAGTTCTCACTGGCCCCGTTCCATCCTTTCCTATTCTTCCTATTCCATTTATAAAAGCACAGTTGACTTTTTTCCCACATAAAAGTTAACTTACCCTATGCAGTGGTCGGCAAACTCATTAGTCAACAGAGCCAAATATCAACAGTACAACGACTGAAATTTCTTTTGAGAGCCAAACTTTTTAAACTTAAACTATATAGGTAGGTACATTGTTATTAACTTAATTAGGGTACTCCTAAGGCTTAGGAAGAGCCACACTCAAGGGGCCAAAGAGCCGCATGTGGCTCGTGAGCCGCAGTTTGCCAACCATGGCCCTATAGGGATTCAATAAAGCTCCCAACACCATAAGCTAGAGAACAAGTAACAGTTAATTACAAATGCAAATTAATTCCTCTGTATCCAGTCTGAAGCAACTACAGAATAGAGTAAGTGAATCAGACAACTCAAAGGTCAACAAGTGAACTTTAATGAATAATTTTGGTAAAAGTGTTTTTGCACAGATATGCAAGTCTAAAGCATATAAAAATGAACAAAAAGATTCTTTCTCTCCTTAAGTACTTCTTGGTACAGCTATGACTCAGTTTAACTTATCTATTTCAGAGCTTAAAAACCAAGAAACTAACACATTTTTGCAGTTAAACTTGAGACACCTACATTTATTGTTCTAACACTGGACATACTGTAATTTGTTACTCTTATTGATAGGTTTGCCTTTTAAAAGTTTTCCTAGGAAAAAAATATAAGAAAAAAGTAACTATATATATTAGCGTCATTCTTTGAACATTATTTAGGAATAACAGAGTCTTAAATATAGCTCAATTTTTAAAAACATTGACAAAATGTTGGAATGTTATTATTTTCAGGATCTCTTTTTGAAAAATACATGAGTATTAAAAAAATAATTTTGTCCTGGCACTGGTAGGGTGAACTACATCTATACTGTTCACAAATTCAACACACAACAGTGTCTGCTTTAAAAGAGATCAACACTAACAGGTAACATGAAAAAGAGAAGCGAACTTGTGGAGGTGCATTCATTCCAGTGTACTGTTAATCCCTCTCAGGTTTCACTAGCACATTACTAAAAACAGATATATACCCTAATTTCACAGATATTTAACAATTTAACTTTCCCTACAGATATAAAGTATGCTTACCTCTTTGACAGCTTCAGTCTTAACTGCAAAAAGTGCCCCAGCACATTTTTTCATCACAGGTAGCTATCAGTGTTTCTTAAGAGGGCCATTCCAAATACTGCAGAACATGTAGCATTCCTGGCTCATTCACTAAAAGCCAGCAGGTTTCACAGTCACTGTGAAACATACCCATAACATTTCCAACTGCCCCTTGATGAAAACCACTGAGTGAGATCCAAGATTAATGTCAATTAAAACTTCATAACTTTCACAGAAAGTAACTGCTTCAAAATCTTCAGTAACAAAGACAGAAGAACATTTTGTTAAAAACACATTGTAATTAAATGTTATTTTGAAAAGATAAGCTGATTTCTTCAAATTTATGATGATCTGAAAGAATCAGTTGCATAAAGTGCAATCCCTATTTATCCCCAAATGCACACATATATTTACAGGAAAATAACTGCTTATGTTCTGGCATATCTTACCCCACTTATCTTAGTATAAAAATATTTTTGTCTACTACAATAAGATAAAAAAAACATGTAGAGCTTCTTAATAAATTTCCTCACACTGATGTTCCTGAAAACTGTTGTTGTCTTTGCTCCAAAACTTGCTGATTTAATAGCTGTTGTTGTTTCTGTAAAAACTGCACCACTTCTGGGCTTCTTAATAATGACTTAAAAAGAAAAAAAACATACTTATTAATAGCATTATTTTTATGGGATTAGACTGTAAACATGCTATGACATTACTGCTATGTCCCTACACAAGATACAATATGCTTAGAAAACAAAACATGCCTAAATTAGTGTTTGCATCTTATACACTGCATTTAAACGGTAAAGTAATAAAATTTGATGTCATACATCAAAATACTAAAATCTAAAAACAGTGGGTAAAACTTGATCTTATTGGTGACTTTGTACACAAAGGAAATGTTTTTTTTTGTTTGTTTGTTTGTTTTGTTTTTTTAAAATATATTTTTATTGATTCTTCACAGATAGGAAGGGAGAGAGATAGAGAGTTAGAAACATCGATGAGAGAGAAACATCGATCAGCTGCCTCCTGCACATCTCCCACTGGGGATGTGCCCGAAACCAAGGTACATGCCCCTGACCAGAATCGAACCTGGGACCCTTCAGTCCGCAGGCCGATGCTCTATCCACTGAGCCAAACCGGCTTCGGCGGAAATGTTTTATATGATATAGAGGCCCGATGCATGAAATTCATGCAAGAGTAGGCCCTCGCAGCCCCGGCTTCATCTGGAAGGTTGCCTGGAAGGTTGTCCGGGCGGCCGTTGGGTCAATTTGCATATTACTCTTTTATTATTATAGATGCCAGCATATATATTCTCTATAAAACGTAAGAGTAAATAGCCAATAGCACTGACCCAGGATTAGAGCAAGGAAAATGAAAAGAGGCCACATGTGAAAATGGCAGTTAAATGACACTTTGCAAATACATTTAAGACTGGTATTGGAACTCAAATTTCTCCCATGAACCTACTAAGTCTTTCTGAAGAAATAAAAAATTATGTGTGTGTTATTTGGTGTGTGTGTGTTTAAATATAGGTATGTGTGTAATGATGGGTAGATTACCAAAATTTCTGAAAAGAAAGAATACAACTGCTTTAAAACAGCCAATACTTTTTGTACATGTTTCATTTTAAAATACAGTTGTAGCCGAAACCGGTTTGGCTCAGTGGATAGAGTGTCGGCCTGCGGACTGAAAGGTCCCAGGTTCGATTCCGGTCAAGGGCATGTACCTGGGTTGCGGGCACATCCCCAGTGGGAGATGTACAGGAGGCAGCTGATCGATGTTTCTCTCTCATCGATGTTTCTAACTCTCTATCTCTTTCCCTTCCTCTCTGTAAAAAATCAATAAAATATATTTTAAAAAAATAATAATAATAATAAAAAAAATAAAATACAGTTGTAATCATATCCTAATATATAAAAAGCCAGGGGCCATCACGACCGAAACAACCAGATGGACGACCAAACAGCAGGCTGCGTGGGGCGACAAGGCCGGCAGGGGGGTTAGTGGGGATGACCAAACGACTGAACAGCAGGCTGCATGGGGCGACCACGCCAGCAGGAGGGCCCTGAGGGGCGACCAGGCTGGGGGGGGGGGGGGGCATTTGGGGACGACCAGGCTGGCAGGGGGGGCAATAAGGGGCGACCAGGCCGGTGGGGGGGCAGTTGGGGGCAACCAGGCCAGCAGGGGAGGCAGTAAGGGGTGACCAGGCCAGCGGGGGCGGGGCAGTTTGGGGCAACCAGGCCGGCAGGTAGAGGTGGTTAGGGGTGATCAGGCTGGCAGGGGGGGCAGTTAGGGGCGATCAGGCAGGCAGGCAGGTGAGCAGTTAGGAGCCAGCGGTCCGGATTGTGAGAGGGATTTCTGACTGCCAGTTTAGGCCCAATCCCGGCAGTCAGACATCCCCCGAGAGGTCCCGGATTGGAGAGGGTGCAGGCTGGGCTGAGGGGACCCCCCCGCCCGTGCACAAATTTCATGCACTGGGCCTCTAGTAACAAATATAATAGACTATGGTTAATATGTTTTTGTTATAATAAAATTGATGAAAAAATAAAACTCTGGCTCCAATAAATTGAAAAAGATAAACTGAAAAGATAAAATAGAAATACTATCATTAAATACTAATTTTAAAATTTAACATTATAGCACAGTACATTTTCTATTTATTAGTTTTATTTAAAATTTAGTTGTAAAAACTACCCAACATTTTATTAAATAAATGTACATCAGTCTTCTTAATTGTTATGAAACTGTTGAGCATTTAGGTTGTTTATACTACTACTAGAGGCCTGGTGCACAAAAATTTGTGCACTCGGGGGTGGGGGTCCCTCAGCCTGGCCTGTGCCCTCTCACAGTCTGGGACCACTCAGGGGATGACCACCTGCTGGCTTAGGCCTGCTCCCCGAGAGATTGGGCCTAAGATGACAGTCAGACATCCCTCTGGCAGCCCAGCAGCCCTCGGGGGATGTCCACTTGCCAGCGGGGAGCAGACCTAAGCTGCAGTCGGACATCCTTAGCGCTGCTGAGGAGGCAGGAGAGGCTCCCACCACCACCGCTGTACTGGCAGCCATCAGCCTGGCTTGTGGCTGAGCAGAGCTCCCCCAAGTGGGAGCGATTGACCACCAGAGGGCAGCTCCTGCATTGAGCGTCTGCCGCCTGGTGGTCAGTGTGTGTCATAGTGACTAGTCATTCCCAGTCTTTCTGCTTTTAGGGTCAGTTTGCATGTTACCCTTTTACTATATAGGATAGAGGCCTGGTGCACAGGTGGGGGCCGGCTGGTTTGCCTTGAAGGGTGTCCCAAATCAGGGTGGGGGTCCCGCTTGGGTGCCTGGCCAGCCTGGGTGAGAGGCTGATGGCTGTTTGCAGCTGGTCACACCCCCTTTAGGATGGGGGTCCCCACTGGGGTGCCTGGCCAGTCTGGGTGAGGGGCTGAGGGTCGTTTTCAGGCTGGCCGCGACTGAAGCTCCCAGCCTCTCCTTTTTTTTCTGTTTTTTTTTTCTTTCTGGGATTTATTTACCTTCTATAATTGAAACATTGTTGCCGTCACTGGCGCTCCCAGCTCTGAGGCCGCGGCCGGCTGAAAGCAGGTATCTGGGGTTTGTTTAGCTTCTATAATTGAAACATTGTTGCTTTCGGGCTCAGAGCTGGGCCGTGGCAGGCGGGGAACCTTGGCTTCCTCCATCACTGGAGCAAGCAAGCCTCCTGCTCACTTCAGCTGCGTGGCTGCCGGCCGCCATCTTTGTTGGCAGTTAATTTGCATATTGCCCTGACTAGCCAATGGGAAGCGTAGCAGAGGTACAGTTAATTACCCTTTTTGTCTTTTATTAGATAGTATTTTACTATGATAAATATTTTACTATTTATGATAAATACATTTCTGGCAATATCTTTATGCTTAACTTTATCCATATTTAGGGTTTATTTTCTGTGAACGTCTTTACAATAAATATGATTTCTGAGTCAAAGAGGATGCCCATTTTAAAGACTCCTGATACATAGTGTTCAACTGCTTTCTAGAAGCATTGTGCCAATATATGATGCCATCAACAGAACAAAATTAGACTGCCCATTTCATGGAACCCTCAACATCACTGTGTTATCATTTAAATTGTTTCTACTTATGGTTATGGTTTATTGTATTATCAATATTGCATTACTGTATACCAGTGGTTCTCAACCTTCTGGCCCTTTAAATACAGTTCCTCATGTTGTGACCCAACCATAAAATTATTTTCGTTGCTACTTCATAACTGTAATGTTGCTACTGTTATGAATTGTAATGTAAATATCTAATATGCAGGATGGTCTTAGGCAACTCCTGTGAAAGGGTCGTTCAACCGCCAAAGGGGTCGCAACCCACAGGTTGAGAACCGCTGCTGTATACCTTTGTATATAAGTTAATGGGAGAAATTCTGCTTTTTCCTTCTTGTTATATCTTTTGCAATGTACTGAAGCCAAATATTTTCCTCAGCAACTTATATTTCACATAACAAAAATGCTAACCGTTTTTTTATATTTGCTACAGATAATTTTCCTTATTTAAGTATGCATTTTTATTTTTACCACCATTTTTTACTTTAGTGCATTGTTATTTTTATCACCATTTTTTACTTTAGCATTTTTTATGTAGTCAAATTTATAATGTTCTCTTTGAAATTTTGTCTCTCTTTTAAACTAAAAAATTCCCATTCCAGATTTTTAAAAAATATTTTTATTGATTTTTATAACTATTTAAAAGCAGATCCTTTCCCGCCAAAATATAAGATGGCGCGTTAAAATGCCTATATCTTTTGAAGTATGGGTTCGATTGAAATGAAATATTTGGTAATACGCAGTTACAATCGGCCCGAGTTTACACGTTTCCCGCACTCCACCGCAAATCTATATAAACCGAGTTTTAAGACGGCTCCCGCGGAGTACGCGCAATTCACGCGAGCCGACTTAACTCGTTTCCGCAACCCAAGTGTTAAAAGCAGATCCTTACTAGTCTTTTTTGTGAGAGGAAGGGAGAGGGAGAGAGAAACATCTATGTGAGAACTGAACATAGATAGGCTGCCTCCTGCATGCCCCATACTGGGGATTGAGCCCGAAACCCAGGCATGTGCCCTAACAGGAAATCGAACTGGCAATCTTTCTGTGCACGGGACAACACCCACAAGGGCCAGAGCTTCCATTTCAGATTTTTGAGATAAAGTCCTAATTCTATTTTTTTTTAATTAAAAAAAATCTTTATCAGGAATTTATTTCCATTTACAGTGTCTTTTCTTTTTGTCCTCAAGTTATTATCCAATTATTCCAGTATTTATTGAGTAATCTCTCCTGAGTTCTGATATCTTCTATCAAAATTTATAATAGAGATCCTTATTAAATATTGGTATAATTATATTTCAACACCGTTAAAGCATTATTCCACAAACCCCAGAATTCAGTATAAGAAGTCTATTTTTAAAATCCCAGCTTGCTCAGATATCCAGGCTTAGGCAATTAAGATATAGGATTAAAAGTATTCCTGCTCAGCCATGCACTGAGAGGTCGTGGGTTCCATTCCGTCAGGGCACATGCCTGGATTTCAGGCTCCATTCCCAGTAGAGGGTGTACAGGAGTGGGCCAATCGATGTCTTGATTTTTCTCTCTCTCCCCCACCTCCCTTCCTTTGTCTGTCTCTCTCTAAAACAAACAAACAAACAAACAAACAAAAACAACAACAAAAGAACTTAAAAATAAAATTCCCGCTCATATACTCTTGGGAGAGCATTATGAGCATTCAGGTAGAGGCACAATTCTGATGAACAGTCTAACAATTTTAAAAATCTAAACTTTCCATTTATAACAAACAACTTTTGTTAATAGATTTGTAATTACTTTAAAACAGATACTTACCAATCTTTTTTGATTTAACACTTGCTCTAAAAGTGTAGGTCTTGCAGGACGATCCCCCAAAGCTCCTGTTCTTTGTTTAACAATTGAGAGAATGCTATCTGCACTTTCCTGGAATAAATTATAAAAATGCAAATAGGATTAACATTTACCAAAGTAATTCATGATTACAGCCATTTCAATGATGAAGTAAACAGGTCTTTGATTCTCTTCCTTTTTGTCCAGTACCTGGACAAGTAATAGGCAAAATGTTGACAATTAAGTTAATGTAACACTCCTCACTCCCTCTCCCTCTAGGATTTCAAACCTGGGATCTTCAGTATCTTTAAGGGTCTTAAAATTAATAGTGGGGCAGAAGCGGTGGGGAGGGGTACAAAGAGTTACTTGTGAGCTATTGTCAATCTTATAAAAAATGCCTAGTACAAATTGAACATTCTCTTCATAGAAAGCTATCCAGGCCAAAACAAAGTCTGCCTGCCTTTGGATTGAATATATGAACTCAAAGGCAACTTACATATTAGACGTTCTAACTGGCACTTCTCTGTCCAAATAACAACAAAAAATAAGGGGGGAGGCAGTAAAATATTGCTTAAAGCAACAACTGACAGACAAAGCTTTCAAAATTTGAAAGTTTTAAGGAGAATAAGGAGAAAATGACAAACTGGTTTTGGAAACACTAGCATAAACAAAATAGGTGAGTCCTAAAATTACATTATGACATCATTACCCAAACAAAACCAGTAGCACTTCCTACCAAATATGTACCCATAGTTATTTGATAGAATCTTAAACACATAAATTTTCCTGGCATAACAAAATACGGTGTATTGTTCTAGTTGACTCAAACATTCTCAATACATGATATAGTATGGACCACATCCAAAAATTCTGACTAAACAAATATAAAACTATAAATGTCTTATTGTATAGTCATGCCTACTGTGAGTTTACCTATCTCTTTGCTCTTCATTTAGGTTATCAAAACTGTTTTGTGTTTTTTTCTCTTGGGCTTTACTCTACTGGCCTCTGAATTGTCTATTAGAATATCCCTTACTTTTTTCATTATGAGAAGTTTACCAACCTGTTTTTAAAATGTTCAATCCCCCCTTTTCTGGTGGTGACAACCTCCCCATGACAATATGCCTCTCGCTAATGAACTCCTTTATCCCTTTCCAGAAGAGGAGAGGAGGAAACACAGTAAGTCCCTGGTGCAGAGCCCCAATAATTACTTCATGGATGTGAAATGCCCAGGATACTTTAAAATCACCCCTGTCTTTAGCTATACACAAACAGTAGTTTTGTGTGTTGATTGCTCCACTGGTCTCTGTCAGCCTACAAGAGAAAAAGCAAGGCTTACAGAAGGATGCTCCTTCAGAAGGAAGCAGCACTAAAAGCACCTCGAATCAAGAAGAGTGGGGTACCATCCCAATGAACACATTCTGGATTTTTTAAAAATGTTCAATCCCTAAACAATTTAGGCTTCAAAATGTAAAAACAAAAAAATAACTATAAAAAGAGTATTCTAATACCCAGGAAAAGCAAAAGTAACTTCTCCCTTCCTCTTTCCTTAAAGGGTTAACTTTATCTATGGTACTAATTTTTTTTTCATTAAACTTATTGGGAAAACATTGGTTAATCATCCTATATAACAGGGGTGGGCAACCTTTTTGTGAGTGCATGCCAAAACCAGCAAAATCTCTGACTCAAAATTCTTCTGCGTGCCAACCCTAATTTTTTGAGAACATGTTACGCCTACTTGATATCTCTTAAGGTGTACGTATGTGAAGAACCTTGAAGAAATAATAAAATTCATTCGAGCAACAAAAACACAATATATGATGATAAAAATACATTTATTTTTTAATGTATACATGTACACTGATAGTCCGACAGGAAACTTTATGACTCTGCTTGATAATATCAGTGGGACTTTTGCTGTTGCATCACTGATGACAGAGATTTTACATCAGGTTTATATTTCGTGACCTTCAGAGATATGCACGAGCTACTACTTTCATCCACCACTTTCATCCGTCAGGCTACTCCTATTACGATACTTAACAAAATTCATCACTGAAAACAAAGATTCACAAGTGTATGTGGATGAAAACATGGAGAGTAACGCTGTTGCAAAGTTTTTTAAACAGAAAAAATTTTCTGGAATGGCATTCCAAGTCCTCAATAGTTCGTTTTCGACACTTCTCTCTGGTACTGTCTCTAATCGCTTTTTTTCAATGTTTTCCAAGTCAACTCTAAGGACAATAAATTTCTGCTTCCAAATTGAGCTACTCTGAAATTCAATCTACTGCATTTCAAAGTCAGCCATGTCTATCCATGAAAACATTTGTAAGTTTAGTTCCTCCAGTTTCATGCTGTCTGGAAACCTCATGAATTTTGCTGTCTCTTCCAGTTCTCTGAATTTCGCACATCTTGAGAAGAACTGCTCAATAGTTGACTCGATGATGTTTAAAAACAGCTTTTGAAGGCTTTGACAGTCTGTTCTGTCATCTCTTGGGAGGTCTTTGATGTGCCTCTTGAGGTTTGGGAAATATCTAAATCTCTCACCATCCACATCCCTCTTAAAAACTTCCAGTTTCTTTTCAAAAGCCTTTAAGTAACCAAACATAGCATCAAGTGTCTTGCCAGTTCCTTGTAATTTAACATTTAAGTCATTCAAATGTTCACAAAAATCTGCAAAGAACATCAGTTTAGAAACCCACGTGGCGTCAGACAATTCTTGGTAAGAAACATGTTTTTATATGCACAAGAAATGGAATGCTGAAATTGACTTGATGGCAGAGTATCCTGTATTCTGGATAACCCCTGACAAAGTACTATGTGAATTCAGAATGTTAATATCACAAAATCATAGAAGGTTGTAGTGGAAATAACCTTGAATTGTATAGTCCAAACTTTTATAAATATTGAAATTCCCTTTTCAAAGATTTTGAATGCTTTTTGTCCTAAGAAGCTTAACCAACTTTTGAGGCAACCCATTTGGTTTTGAAAAGCTCTAACATTTAGGTGGCTTTTACTTAGGTTCAACTGAAATAACATAACTCTTGTGATTTTCTCCTAAGTCCTAGTTTCTTCAGAACTACGCAAAATAAATCTACTGCCTCTTTGATATGATAGCCTTTTAGATATTAAATGATTACAACCCTACAGGTTAATTCTTTTATCCCCTGTTCATGTGTCTCTCACATAGCACAATTTTTAGATACATGAACTATTATATATATATACACTAGAGGCCCGGTGCATGGATTTGTGCACCGGTGGGGTCCCTCAGCCTGGCCTGCACCCTCTCACAATCCAGGACCCCTCGGGGGATATTGGAGAGCCGGTTTCAGCCCAATCCCTGCAAGCCAGGCCGAGGGACTACACCGGTACATGAATCCATGCACAGGGCCTCTAGTATGCATATAAGATCTTTGGTTAATCTCTTCACACCCTCCTCCTCTCCTCCCTTCCCTCTGAGATTCATCAGTCTGTTCCATGTTTCCATGCCTGTAGTTTCCGCTCCTGCATTGAGTGTCTGCCCCCTGGTGGTCAGTGCGCATCATAGCTACTGGACAGTTGACTGGTCAAATGGTCAGCCAGTCACTTAGGCTTTTATATATAGATATATAGATAGATGTGTTCCTTATTTAACCTTGATTTGTGTAAGAAATACTGATTTAAATACATTAATTTCTAATCTTGCTGCTCAAACTACAGCAGAAGACCCACATTATCATCTATGAGTTCCTACTATAGGGTGCTCCAAAATTCAAGCAAGATTTGCAATTCAATTCAATTGCAAATCTTGCGTGAATTTTGGGACACCTTATATAATGATCTCCCTAAAGAGTCTATACAGCTATAGGCTTTTGACTTTAATCCACCCCAATAAAGTAGGAATCCCAGTAACTCCCTAAACAGAAACCTTCATTTAAAGACTCCAAATCCAAACCCTAGAGCCTGGCATTCAATACCATACAAAAATTGGCTTCAAACCCTCTTTCCACATTTATCTTTCATGTATTTTTTCCACACAAAATATCCTACTCTAGCTATAATGGTCCACTTGCTGTTGTTTCAAAGTGTCTTCATATTCCCACTTTCGTTTCTTTACTAAAATGTGCCTTTCTTTTTACCTACCAAAATTCTAGGGAAGCAGTATGGGTTAAGACTGAAGGCTCTAGAATCAAGTACTTGGGTTTGAGTACTTGTTGTCTATCATCTAGGCCAGCAGTCGCCAACCTTTTGGACATTGCGGACCACCAGTGGTCCGTGGACCACTCTTGGTGACCGCTGATCTAAGCCATGTTCCTTTACCTCTCTGTGCCTGTTTCCACATACGTAAAATACTAGACACCCGGTGCATGGATTCGTGCACCAGTGGGTCCCTCGGCCTGGCCTGCGGGATCGGGCCAAAACCAGCTCTCTGACATCCGAGGGGTCCTGGATTGCGAGAAGGCGCAGGCCAGGCCAAGGGACCCCATCGGTGCACAATCAGGGCCAAGGAAGGATACGGGAGGTTGGCCAGCTAGGGAGGGACCACAGGAGGGCTCCAGGGCATGTCCGGCCTGTCTCGCTCAGTCCCGGCCAGACCCCAGCAGCAAGCTAACCTACTGGTCGGAGCGTCTGCCCCCTGGTGGTCAGTGCACATCATAGTGACTAGTCGACCAGTCCACTGTCTGCCCCCTGGTGGTCAGTGCACATCATAGCGACCAGTCGACCGGACACTTAACATATTAGGCTTTTATTATATAGGACAGTACCTATCCCATTGTGCGGTTTCATTTATAGCTTAGCAGTGTATGGCACATACAAAACGTAACTGATTAAGCATAAGTAGCCACCCTTTCTGTCTTAAACTACCATTTTTTTTGCAAAGCCTTCCCAGAGTGTCTCAGCCTACAATGATCCATCCTCCTCTCTACTACTAAAGCAGTCTATATAGTTGGCTCTTATTCTATCCAGACTGTCACTGGTATTTTCTTTACACTCAGTTCAATAAAGATAAAGACATACAGTTCTTGAAATCTCAACTGGTAAAGGGTCTGAAAATATAACACAAATGGTATAGTATGCTATTATTTCTTGCTTATAGCAATTAATTACCATCCCTAAATCATCCCCAAATTGTAATATTTTTGAAGTTTAATCTTATGGTTTATTTTTCCATTTTGTTTTTATTATTACTGTTTATGATTACCTTTTCAAAAAATTTATCTTTATTGTTGAAAGTATTACATATGACCCCTTTTCTTTTCCCATTGATACCCTGCACGCCCGCCCCCCCCCCCCCCGCCCTCACTACACTATTGTCTGTGTCCATGGCTTATGCATATATGCATATAAGTTCTTTGGCTAAACTTTCCCCACACCACACCTCACCCCTGCCTTCCCTCTGAGATTCCTCAGTCTATTCCATGCTTCTGTCTCTGGACCTATTTTGTTCAGTTAATTTTGTTCATTAGATTCCACATATGAGTAAGACTGTGTGATACTTGTCTTTCTCTGACTGGCTTATTTCACTTAGAATCATATTCTACAGAGCCTTCCAAGCTGTCTCTTTTTTACAGCTGCATAGTATTCCATGGTGTAAATGTACCACAGCTTTTTTATCCATTCATCTACTGTCAGGCACTTGGGCTGTTTCCAGATCTTCGCTATTGTAAATTGTGCTGCTATGAACATAGGGATGCATATATTCTTTCTGATTGGTTTTTCAGGTTTCTTGGGATATATTCCCAGAAGTGGAATCACTGATTTCCACAATGGCTTCACCAGTCTGCATTCCCACCAGTGTGTATTAGGGTTCCCTTTTCTCCACATCCTTGCCAGCACTTTTGAACAGGCAAATAGATCAATGGAACAGAAAAAGAACCCAGAAATCAACCCAAGGCATTATGCTCAATTAATATTTGACAAAGGAGGCAAGAGCATACAATGGAATTAAAATACTCTCTTCAATAAATGGTGTTGGGAAAATTGGACAGGTACATGCAAAAAAATAAAACTAGACCACCAACTTACACCATACACAAGAATAAACTCAAAATGGATAAAAGACTTAAATGTAAGTCATGAAACCATAAAAATCCTAGAGGAAACCATAGGCACCAAAATCTCAGACATCTCTCATAGATATGTTTGTCCATACATCTCCTAGGTCAAGGGAAACAATGAGAGAATAAACAAATGGGGCTACATCAAAGTAAAAAGCGTCTGCACAGCAAAAGAAACCATAAACAAAACAACAAGAGAGCCCACTGTATTTTACCAATGATACATCTGATAAAGAGTTAATTTCCAAAATATATAAGAAACTCATACAACTTAACAAAAGGAATACAAACAATACAATTAAAAATGGGCAAAGAACCTAAACAGACACTTCTCTAAAGTGGACATACTAGTACAGATGGCCAAGAAACATGAAAAAATGCTCAAAGTCACTAATTATCAGAGAGATGCAAATTAAAATGGCAATGAAACATCACCTCACACCTGTTGAATGGCTACCGTCAACAAATCACCCAAATTTTTTTTGAAAAGGAACATTATTAAGGTTGTTTTTTTGGGGGTGGGGGTGGAGGGGTGAGGGGAGAGACTGTAATCCAGTATCAATTTACCTTTTACACATTTTCCTCAAACTGTAGGTGGAAATGCTGGGCCATTTAAAAAAAGACAATAGTTACAGGTAAATAATGTCTTTCTTGAAAAGTGAAAAGAAGTATATTATCTTCTCTCTCTGTAATGAACTATGAAGTGAATGGGTACCTTTGGAATATACAAAAAGATAAACGACCACCCTTACCTGACTTTCACTCTGTAGTAAGTGAGATGTTTATTTCCATAATTCCTTGTAATCCGAGACATGGTAAAATATTGCATTTTACAAGGATATGGATAGGGCAGGTTTTAAACCTAAGATCCACAGGCATCCTGAACTCCATGAATGTGTATGAAAAATTAAATACCTACATATGTGCATTTTTCTGGGAAAAGGGTTCATTAGGTTTCATCAAATTCTAAAAGGAGTCCTTTTACTCTAAACAGATTAGGACTAAATGGAATAAAAGGGAATGAGAAGTCAGAAGACCCTAATCTGTGAATTAAGTACAACATGTTGGTGACTTCAGATATTAGAAATATTTAGAACATTACAGTTGTAAACAATTACAAAATCTAAAATGTGAGCAATGAGGCAGCTGTTCAAGTCCAGCCAAAAACTAAGAAATTGAAAGACTTTTAAAATACATTCTAGGAGAGCTTTCAGTTTTAAAAGTTATTTTCTGAATCACTTTTAACAAAATTCAAGTTTTCTCTGCACTGAAGAAGTAGTGGAAAACACACAGGATGAAGTATCTGCTTATCTGTAATAACTTCAAAGAATACCACTAATAATCTATAATAATAAAAGAGTAATATGCTAATTAGACCAGACATCCGTCCTTCCAGACGAAGCCGGGGCTGCCAGAGAAGCCAGGGAAGCCCGGGTCCGGGTGCCAGAGGGAAGCCAGTGCGGGCAGCCAGGGGAAGGAAGGCCTACTCTTGCACGAATTTCATGCATCGGGCCTCTAGTGACACCAATAATAGCTAAGGCTTATTGACTTTTACTATCTGCTGGACACTGTGTGAACACTCAATATGGAATACCTCACATATTCACAGTAACATTATGAACTAGGCACTATTTTAACAGCCATTTTACAGATGAAGAAACTGAAGCTTAAGAGTGTTTAATAACCTGTTCAAGGGCACATGGCCAGGAAATGATAGAATGGAGATTTGCAGTCAGCAGTCCAACTTCAGCATACTGACTTTAACTGTCAACACAGTTCAATTCAAACAATCTAAAAATCTTCTGAGGCTTATACACCATTATTATTTATTATTTTTCTCCAGAGGTACTAAAAAAAAAAAGTAGTGAGAACAGGGGACTAAGCATGGGTTTACTGAGAATAGGGTATTAAGTATAGCGGTACAGGGAGCAGAGTACTAAGAACCTTGATACTCAAAACAGGATACTGACAATAGACAGGGTAGTGAAAACAGTAAGAGATTGCCTTCTCCAAAGTACCAATTTCATCTGGGTTCCTGTCTCTTTGCCTGCTCCTTTAGTGATGAACCGGATCAGTCATTTACTATCTGTCCTTCCAGTACATATCCCAGACCTTAGAAATTACATCTTTTCTGATGTGCAACATCACTTTCATTGAAATTTATTCATCTATCAAAAGGATGCAACAGAACTATTAAGGCTTTGCACACGTTTGCATAAACTTTAAGGCAAGCACTCACTCACTCTCAAGCCTCAGGTCCAGCCACAGCAACATGGTCCATATCAGGGCCAGTGGGCAGGGGCAGGAAATGAGGTTTGCACAGAGTGGGGTTGCTTTTTCCCCCCCTCTCACTCCCCAAGACCCTAGCTAAAGTCTAATACCTCCAGTTTGACGTTCCCCGCACTGCCAGCTGGGGCGGCTCCACCGCAATTCAGGGCCTGGTCACTTTTCTTCTTTTTGTACTTGTCCTTGTACATCTTGTTGCGGTGTTTCTTGCACATCCACGGCTTGCGTTGCTTGGCCACCTGGCTCGTGGTTTCGCTGCAGCCCTCGTAAGTGCAGGTCTTGCACATGCTGCCCCCGCCGCTGGCCCGCCTCCGGGCTCCCCTGCTGCCGCCCTCGCCCCCGGAGTGGGTCTCTTCGTCCTCCAGGTCCTCCAAACTAGCCGTGCTCTCGCCTCCCGCCGGAGGGTCCGAAGTGTCCAGCAGGTCGGCTTCGTCCTCCCCCGCTTCCTCCTCTCCATCCCCCGCCGCTTCACAAGGATACCTAACAGGCTTGCCCGCCCCGGCACTGCCCCCCAGGGCAGGAGCCTGCCTCAGGACGCTGTCGGCTGCAGCTTCCTCCTGCCTCCCGGAGGGACGCATCACCAGGAAGGTGAGCTGCGAGGCCCTAGCCTGGCCTTGGGCTGGAGCCAGGGCCGGGCCCAGCGCAGGGGCTGGGGCCCCGGGGCGGAGCGCACCACCGGCGGCAACCGGCCCCGCGCCCTCGGCAACACCCGGCACCTCCGTGGTGCTGAGACCTGGCGGGGGTCCACGACCCAGCTTTTCCGCACCCTCGGGTTCCAACGTCACCTCGCAAACCAGACTCAAAAGACAGGCGACAGGAAAAGGGGCGGGGCCCGCGGTGGTGCCCGAACTGCGCCCTGCGCGGCTGCGCAGACCAATGGTAAAGGTGTTTTCGCTGGGGCTCACCAGGGGACGGGGCGTCTCCTAGGGGCGGGGCTCAGCGCTGCCGGCAGAACTGACTGCGCAGGTGCTGGTCCAGCGGCCTGTGGAGGCGGCGAGCGCCGCTACTTCTTGGGTGGCCTGTGCAGAATTCTAGTGGCAAGATAGCGCTTCTTTAAAAAAAAAACCTGAACCTACACTGTTTAAAACGTTTCAAAGAACTTTTGTCCTAAGTACATTAAGATTGATCCTGAGCGACCTCATGATTTGTGGCGTTAGGACGCTGATTGTAAAAGATATTTTGCCGCAAACTGCCTGAAATGGAGGTGTGAAGCTGGCATGTAGTAGTGTCATTAAGTGGCACTACCAGATAGCAGTGGGTGAAGGCAGAGACAACCTATCTGAAAATGGTATAGTGGAGAGGGAGTGGGCCAGACCTGGGGCCAAGTTATACTTGTTGAGAGCTAAATGGTTTACTCTTGTTAATCCTCACCAGAGGATATTTTTTCCATTGATATTTTAGAGGAAAGAAAGAGAGAGGGTGGGGGGAGGGAAGCATTGATGTGGGAGAGACACATGATTGGTTGTCTCAGGCCTAGGGATCAAACCTGCAACCCAACGCTGTTGACCAGGAATCCAGTCCCGAAGCTTTGGTGTGCAGGCCTACACTCTAACCATTGGGCACTGGGGATGTGCTCCCCTGCCACAGCAACTGGCCAGGGCTAAATGATTTACCCCTTAAAAAAACAAAAAACATATGTTTATGGATTTCAGAGAGGAAAGGAGAGGGAGAGATAAAAGCATCAATGATAAGAGAGAATCACTGATCGGCTGCCTCCTGCATGTCTCCTACTGGGGATGAGCCTGCAATCCAGGTATATGCCCCTGACCGGAATCGAACCCAGGACCCTTCAGTCTGATGCCGCTCTATCCACTGAGCCAAAACAGCTAGGGCTAAATGATTTACTCTTGATAAATTTGTTTTTCTCCCTTGGAACTTATTTCTTTAATTGTTAATACTGTGGTAGACATGAACAGAGCAAAGACAATGGGCCTGGTACAGAAGGTCACCAAGATAGAAAGCCCCAGATTCCTAGCAAAGGACAATGTAGGGTGGGACCTCACTCCCAGAGTGACCTTTCCTCCCTAAAGTTAACATCTAGGCCTCAGTTTTTTCAGCTGTAGGTCCACATTAGCAATAAAACCAGCCACAGCTGACTTAAGGACCAGCTGCATTGAATAATGACGCCCTGCCCTGGTGCTGGCCAATCAATCAGTGGAGACCACAACCCAGAAAGGGCACACCTGGAAAACTGCTGAATATTCTATTTAGATCTTCCTCTCAAAGCTCCACCCTTAAAACTCTTAGGAAGGAGGACCCAGTGAGCTCTCCCTCCCAGGAACACCCCTGTGCCTCCATTTTCTCCTCCCCTTCCCTAACCCCCCCACCCCACCCCCCGCACCTTACTACTAGCTTCCTCACTCCCAAGCTTCCTTTACCTCTATAACTTGTTTACTAAGCCCATTTCTTCTAGGAATTACTTTTCTGCCTCTGTGATTAGCCAAATAAATATTTTCTTAGAGATTTGGTCTTGGCTCTTAATTCTTTCCTAGCTAAAACTCAAGTACCAAGGTTGCTGAACCCAGGTCCAGTCTGACACAAATGGGTCTAACACCCAATGCCCACCCCCCTAAAAGGTTATGATAGTAGGGAATGACATATAATAAGAATAGAGCCACAGTTGTTTAAGAATTATTCACCTTAGTCAAATGGAAGTTCCATTTTTAATTTTTGAGGAAACTCCATACTGTTTTTCAGTGGCTGCACCAGTCTGCATTCCCACCAGCAGTGCAGGAGAGTTCCTTTTTCTCCACATCCTCTCCAGCACTTGTTGTTTATTGATTTGTTGATGATAGCCATTCGGACAGTGTGAGATGGTAACTCATTGTCGTTTTGATTTGCATCTCTCAGATGATTACTGACTTTGAGCATGTTTTCATATGTCTCTCTGCCTTCTGTATGTCCTCTTACGAAAAGTGTCTATTTAGGTCCTTTGCCCATTTTTTGATTGGATTGTTTATTTTCCTTTTGTTAGTTGTATGAGTTCCCTGTAAATTTTGAAGATTAAACCCTTATTGGAGATAACATTGGTAAATATTTTCTCCCATGCAGTGGGTTTTCTTGTTGTTTTGTTGATGGTTTCTTTTGCTGTGCAGAAGCTTTTTATTTTGATGTAGTCCCATTTGTTTATTTTCTCCTTAGTTTCCATTGTCCTAGGAGTTGTATCGGTAAAGATATTGCTATGACATATGTCTGCTCTTTTGCTGCCTATGATTCTTCTAAGATTTTTATGGTTTCCCGTCTTATGTTTAAGTCCTTTATCCATTTTGAGTTTATTTTTGTGTATGGTGTAAGTTGGTGGTCTAGTTTCATTTTTTTTGCATGTATCTGTCCAATTTTCCCAACACCATTTATTGAAGAGATTGTCTTGACTCCATTGTATGCTCTTGCCTCCTTTGTCAAATATTAATTGAGCATAAATCCATTTGACCCAATAATCGCACTTATAGGAATATATCCCAAGAAAACAGAAACACTAATCAGAAAGGATATATGCACCCCTATGTTCATAGTACCACAATTTCCAATAGCTAAGATTTGGAAACAGCCTAAGTACCCATCAGCAGATGAGTGGATTAGAAAACTGTGGTACATCTAACACAATGGAATACTACGCTGCTGTAAAAAGGAAGGAATTCTTACTACTTGCAACAGCATGGATGGAACTGGAGAGCATTATGCTAAGCGAAAAGATAAATATCACATGATCTCACTCATTTGTGGAATGAACAACATAAACTGATGGACAAAAATAGGGGTGGAGGGCGGGGTCAGGCTAGAAGAGGTCAATGGGGGGGAAAAAGGGGGCATATATAATACTTTCAACAATAAAGATTTTTTAAAAAAGAAAACCTTTAGGGCTCTCGCTGCTAGAAGACTCCCATGACAGGATAAGTCTGTCATGGACAGAGGAAGTTTGAGCAAGGCAACCTGTCAACTGCAAGACAAAGCCCACACACTCAGGAACCCTGTAAAATCACACAAGGCCCTTCCCTGAGGCTTTTCCCTGCCCAGTTTACTAGTTCCAATAGAGAGAGAGGAATCCTTGCCCATTGACTGGAGGGATGTTCTTTTCTTCCCTTTCTCTTCCTTCCTTTGTGTCTGGAGTTAAATTCTGGCTGACTTTCTTTGAGCCTTTTGAAATCCTTGAGGTGGAGATAAGGGTTAGGGGTTGAGAGACCCTAGTAGATAGGAATTGAGATAGAAAAAAAGGACAGAAAAAAAAAGTATGGCTGCTTTTAAACTGGCTTTTCAATTGGAATTGCTTTCTGAGGGTCTAAACCAGCCGTGGGCAAACTACGGCCCGCGGGCCGAATCCGGCCCGTTTGAAATGAATAAAACTAAAAAAAAAAAAAAGACCGTACCCTGTACCCTTTTATGTAATGATGTTTTTTTTGTTTGTTTGTTTTAATATATTTTATTGATTTTTTTACAGAGAAGAAGGGAGAGGGATAGAGAGTTAGAAACATCGATGAGAGAGATCGATCAGCTGCCTCCTGCACGCCCCCCAGTGGGGATGTGCCCGCAACCAAGGTACATGCCCTTGACGGGAATCGAACCCGGGACCCTTGAGTCCGCAGGCTGATGCTCTATCCACTGAGCCAAACCGGTTCGGCTATGTAATGATGTTTACTTTGAATTTATATTAGTTCACACAAACACTCCATCCATGCTTTTGTTCCGGCCCTCCGGTCCAGTTTAAGAACCCATTGTGGCCCTCGAGTCAAAAAGTTTGCCCACCCCTTGGACCTGATCCCCACAGACCTGATTTCTTCCAGCTCCTTGCAGTGGCCTTGTGGGGACCAGTGGGGATTCTGGTTTTCAATAGAATGTTAGGGGAGCCAAGGAGAGAATGCCCTTGCCTGGTGTTCACATCACACTATGTGCTGGCAAGCATTTGAAGCTGGATGGGGTGGTAGATCAGGCCATTTTCCATACATCAGGGCAGTAGATCACCAGATAGAATGGAGGAGCACTGCAGGGTTTGGGTTTACAACAGTGCTTGAGGCCCTTCAGCACTTTCTACAAGTGCTTCCCTGCGGTACCTAGGACCTTTGAAATGCAAGTGCCTGGTCAAAAACTCTAGTCTGGGCCATCTCTAAAAGTACAAGTTTCTGGGAAAAATTTAGCCAAGTGCGCAGATCAGATTAACTTATTTCAGCTTTGATTGCTAGATTGCCTGCTTTTATCTTTTTTGCCAAAAGTCTGTAAAGTGAATTTGGAGCTGTGATGTCTTTTGCTTTGATGAAAATGTGCTTTGAAACTAAGTATGTTTAAAATATGTTCATAGGGGTCAATCTAAGGAATGCTGGTTGTTTGCTTTTCTTGGTTATTGGAAATTGAGGCTTCTAGGAATTAATAGTTGGAAATTGTATGATTTTGGTAATAGAAGGTATGGTGCATAGAGATGCATTTTGAAAACTAGTTATTCCTAAAAGTTGTAAAAAAGGTTTGTGGAAATTATAGAAGGTTTATAAGGGAAAATGTTAAAAGGAAGTTAAAACAAAGCCAAACAATGTAGGCAATTTGCAGCCAGCTGGCAACTAACAAACAATTAATTATCTTCCCCAGCCAAGGACACAAAGCAAAAAAAAAAATTTTTTTTTAAAGAACAAAAACCTCCCTACAGAAGGAGAGGGGGGGAAGGGGAAAGGAAACAAAAAAGGGCCATTTTACTCCCTAGGCAGTTTCAAGGCTTGGCAAGGTAAAGTTGCCAGATGCTTCTCATAATTTCTGGAAAGGCTACAACAAGATAACAAGGAACCTTAGGAATTAATCTGTACCAGAATATTAAACAGAGGAATTTTAGGACCTAGGGACA